GATACAAGTAAGAGTGTGTGTGCATGTATTAGTAATGTCTGTCTGTCTGTCTGTCTGTCTGTCTGTCTGTCTGTCTGTCTGTCTGTCTGTCTGTCTGTCTGTCTGTCTGTCTGTCTGTCTGTCTGCATGCGCACATGCAGGTGCTTGTCAAAAATCTCCTGCTCTCGATCGCTTTTCTGATTGTGTCCCTGTGAGACCTCTGTCGCCTCTGCGCGTGTGAGCAGCACCCGTCATTCTGCCACAGCGCCCCCAGGACCGATCGTGGTCTGAAATTCTGGATTTTATACGCTTAGAGCTGCATCCTTGGTGTTGCAGGACGAGGACAGCACAGCTTGACGGCAAAGCCTGCTGAAAGGATCTGAGCCGATTGAAGCCTCGCTTTGGAGCTGCTTCCCCGGCTTGCCTAAGCCGCTTGCCAAGGCACTACGGCAGGGATCTCCGGACAAAGGTGTTCGCCTTGTGGAACTTGGAGTCACTCGAGATGTAAGCGCTCCAAGCAGGCGGAGGTGCTCCTCGAGATGCAGGCTGCCAGAGTCTAGACAGGGCGGCGAAATCCTCCGAGTCTGAGTACTCGCTGAGGACATCGGACCTCGACAGTTTTGCATGCGCTGGCAGGTGTGGAGCCGACTCCGAGGGCTCTCAGTGTGCCTCCGAGACTCCGCCAATGCCTCTTGCAGTTTCCGTGTCTCGGTCTCGCCGAGGTCAGAAGCAGCCCGCAGTCATTGCGAAGCGGACGGATGACAGCCGCTCGGATCAGTTGACAGGTGCACGGGCTTGCAGGTACAAGATGATACAGGTACCTTTACAGGGCCTTTAACTTCGCCAATTGAAGAGTCCTTGGAAAACTTTACCGTAGAGTAGGAGGCGGAGTCACATGTGGAATGCTAGCCAGCTCGGACATGATTGGCTCTGGCTTCAGAGTACGTGCGATTCTCTGTGGTGTGAGAGGTGGGCTGGATGAGTCTGATGGAGAAGAGCCGCGCGGTCCACACCGAAGGCAGCTCAGTGAGAAGCAGCTGCTGCCTCAGTCGGGCAGAGGAAGGAGATCGCCAATTTCCGATCGCAATGTGATGCAGAGTACTTTGCAGCGCATTTTTGCCCGAGTCGCCTTTTCCGCTGTCCTTTCTCAGATGAGTGCCGTGTTTTTTTGTCTAGATGTCGTGCGGCCCCTTTCTTTCCTAAATGCGGCAGGACAGTTTTGTCCTGGGTTCTACATCGTGGCAAGCTATCGGCGAATTGCACACTGCAGGGAAATGCTGTACGGCAAGTCACTACCGACTGCATTTCGCCTTTAGTTTGCTTGTAACAAAACGTGACTCTGCAAGCTCTAATTTCTCAATCGCTTTCCAAAAGGACGCGAAGTCAAAGACTCACTCGATTGTGCAACTCCGCTTTACGCGCTTTTGGTGGCAAACCCTGAAGATCGTAAGTTTTCTATACCACAACTTGTACTTAACACGCCAACCGAGATCCCACGCGAATCCCACAGCCTTGATTTACAAGGACGCCAAATCCAGGCCGCACAGCATGAAGTCTTGCATGCGCAAAAGACAAGCAGGGAGACCAGGACATCGTCCAGGGCAGGACAATATTTGAAGCCTTCGGGCTCGTGTGCGCCGCAGGCATCTTTCAGGTACAGCACAACATGTAGTTTGCACCGAAGCACTCCAGACCCAGAAAAGCTTGATGCCTTTGGGTGCGGACTTCAGGTACGAAGCACTTGTTCGGTGCGCTCAGCAAGTTGTGGCTCTCAGCGGGGTGGGAGCTCAGTTTGGAACTGATCTCTCTGCACTCCTGGAAAGGCATGTTGCCTGAGGCAGGCAGCGGCGGTTTGTTAGCAGCTCCGGCAAGATGAGAACTGGCTCTGCACTTGGCCAATGCCAATGCCGGGGGCATGCTTGACGTGCTTGACTCCGAGTTCTAGGTAAGCTTCGCTTCGCGACCCCCGCGCTGACAGCAAATGCAAGCAATTCACGGAAGTGCGGATGGTATCAAATCAGATGCTTCGTGCATGTAGCCTTTGGTGTTAGGCGAGAGGCAACATCATGACGTTGTCATAGCGCTGATGGTCTTTAAACAAAGCCTTTGGTCCGTCAGCGGCGCTTCCCTTTTGTAAGCTTTAGTGTCTGTCTAGTCAAGAGGCTTCGGATTTGCCTGATTAGCAAAGGCTGCGGATCGGACGTGCTGCTTTGATAGATGTTTCACAAAGCCACGAGAAGGCAGTTGACGAGGAAAAACATATGGCTCGACTTGTTGGGGGCCGTTAGGGCGTGGAAACTCACTTGCGAATAGCTTTGAAGCTTCGACGTTTCCGGATTACTCTGCTCGCATGGGATTGCAGACGTAGACTGTTTTCACCCGGCTGCACGTCGCCCAGGGCAGGCATCTGCCACTCAATCATGTAAACTTCACTTCTCTGTGCACATAATTTCTTCGCAAAGCTTGAGAGGAATGGCACATGGAGGGGGCCGAGCTCCCCATCTGTCCCAAGCCTTGATGGTGTGATGCTTAGTCGAAGTCCGTGGCAGGCAATGCTGCGGCGAACTCATACAGTACCTCTCTGCAAGCCTGCTAACCCTGTGGTCCTCCTCAAGCAGCCGCAGTTCTGTTCATACCACGTTCCTACTGCTCCATTGTCGTGGCTGCAGCCGCATCCCTCAGGTGACACGACGCCATGTTTCCAGCTCAGAAAGCGTTTTGATGCATCGTTTGCCATGGTGCCTCCAGTTCCAAGTCGATGAAGT